ATATAAACATTTGATTGCACTTGATTTTTATAATGTTCAACACATCCAAAGTTGTCATTTTTCTGTTTTCTACCTGAAAATTCATAATTTCTCTTCAGAATGAACAACTTGTTATGGTTTTAATTAATTTTGTCTGAGTTTTTGTTGTTAAAAACACACCCTGGCTACTTTAAGACACAGTTATATATTTAGCCAACTACAGACAGTGGTAACATTTCAGACTTGGACAAGCCCCATGTTTGTCAGCCATACTGAAACTTTAAACCAGACAAAGCTGTTAGCTAAAGAATAACTTCTCTTGGATGCGCTCAGACTTCCCCCTTTCCTCCAGATCTCCTCCTCCACGATCTGGTCGGATCCTGTTCTGGGTCGAGCTCGGTTTCGTGGTGCGAGATAATCGGCAGCTGATGTGAGGTAATGAGGCGGAGATGCGGGAGCACAAACCCAGACGCGCGCCTCTCCTGCCACGACAGGTGCGCCTCCGCTCGTGAGCAACGAGAAGAAAGAGCAGCAGGAGCACGAGACGGAGGAGCAGACGGACCGAAGAGGGCGGAGAGGGAAGGGAGGTAAAACGAGCAGGTTCACTCCGCAGGATTTGTGGCTATGGAAGCGGGGCAGAGCGCGCAGGTCGGAGCCGACGCGGTTGGAGAGCACGCGGCCGGCGGGGCGTGCGCGGGGGAGCGCGACAGAGACCGGGACAGAGGCGAGGTGTCCAGTCCCAGTCCGCCGGCGAAGCAGCGCTCCCTGCGGGTCGTGTACGTCCTGAACGACGGGCTGAAGTCGGTGATGGCGAGCAGCCCGGAGTCCGGCGCGCTGCAGTGTCTGCAGAGAGCCTGCGACTCGGAGAGCGCGCTGCTCACCACCGTCACTTTCGGAAGGCTGGACTTTGGAGAAACAACTGTGCTGGACAGTTTCTACGATGCAGGTGCGTTACAAACAGTCCGGCTGCACAGTTAGATCACTGACAGCTGAGGAGCTGGGCTTTAACACAACTGTTTTTACGCGTTCAGCCAAAAACCAATCCTCGTCTTTCCGTCAGCATTTTCAGTTGATTATTCCTCATAGATCAGGTCAAATTAAGTCTTTTTGGTTCATGTTGCAAAACAGTCACAACCTTTAGATGAGGATTTGAGCCCTTTGAAACACCCATAATAATAATAGCCTAACAATAGCCTAACAACAACAACAACAACAACAACAACAACAACAACAACAACAACAATAATAATAATAATAATAATAATAACAGTATATATAATCTATACTTTCATTTGAGAATTATTTTAAGCAAAACCATAAATACTTTTTAGGCAAAAAGATGCTGGTATAGCCTAGTTCAATATGTGAATAATATAACCCATTAAATGCTTTTATTGTATTTTGACATCTCAATGTAAAGTTTTTAAAATAAAAGTGATCAAGGGATCAAAAAGCACAAACTTCTCTCTGCTTCACTTGTTTTCTCCTCATATGTTTTGTAGGGGGGAAATGCAGCTTTTATTTTGTGAGTATCTTGGCTGTACATAATGTGACATAGTTACAGATTTATTTTCGGTAATCACGATTTATTCTTTCTTTCGAATGTGCAGAAACTTACACACAAACTGTGAAAGATGAGTAAAACGATGTAAGATGAGAAAAATCAAACAGCTTTAAAGATCATCAGGGGTCTGGCTTTTCTTAGGTTTAAGAGGAGCTCCAAATTAGGTTTGTCTTTTTTTTTCTCTGAGATATTACATTCTGTTCTGTTAAACTTGTTGTGCACATAAACTGCAAGGATCAAAACCATAATGACAGGTAGCACATTTTTAGATATTTCTAAGATCTAATGACATAAAATTACAAAATGTTATTTTTTCCTATCAGTCATTCCTTTTTCAAATAAATGTAGCTGCCTTTCTTTATAAAAAKCACTTCCTATAACTGAATCATAGCAGCAAAAATATGCTAAACTGAAATTCCACCAAACACACAACTCTTTACTTCTCTTTTCTTTCTTATTTTTTGTGTCATTCATCAAATGACCTGTTTGCTGCATTTAGTAAATTACCACACCCATGACCATTATTAACCTCAAGGGCTGTATTATCTGACATGAAAGGCAGGCAATCATGTAACTGTTTGCATGTGTGCTCGTTTGTCCCTGTGTTAGCAAAACTCTCCAAAAGTAAATATTGGGTGTACCTACCTGATTCAAGATGGCTGCCACTGTTTGTCTACCCAATTAAATAAAAAATGAAGTCACTTAATATTCTTTTGCAAATTTTGAAAAAAYATTTTGTGTGGTTTTACCTAAGATTCATTCTCATACTTTCAGTGCTAATAGATAGTTTGAGATCTTTGTTCAAAACTTTGCAATTAACTATTAGAGTTCTGTTTTGTTTGTTAGCAAAATATCTCATGCACCACTGAATGTATGAACTTTTCAGAAAGTAATTGTTGTAACTGATTAACTTTTGTATTCATCCGGATTCAAGATGGCCACCACAGCTAATCGACAGCTTTGAACACATAACTTGGTTAATTTTATAGATATGGACCTACAGTTTGGTGTGGTAGTCGCTGAGAATCATCTCAATCGCTCTGAGCACCAACAAATCGCCTAACCTTTTGTTTAAAACTGCAGGGCAGTGAGTGACAAACATTTCTTTAAGAAGTGCTCCTTTCATTCACGCAGACTGAACAGTTGTGGCTGTTTTACAGCTGGTTTTCATTCAGGCGCTCTTCATCATAAAAGTCTTTTACAGCTCCTGCATGAATCAGAAATCAAAGCCAACGTCTGAAAAATTATACTGTGGGAATTTGTTTGCACCTTTTCTTTTGACAACATGGGCACAGATACAAGTTTTAGTTACGTTAGTTCATAGCCTGGTGGACTTCATTGAGAGAGTAGGTAAATGTTAGTGACTGCAGCCAAAAATGTGGTGAGTTCAAAAGAAGGGTGAGAAAAATTGAGAAAGCGTTCWCTCTTTTCTCATGGCAGGACTTTTGTCTTGTCAAAACAAGAGGTGTGACTAACAGGCTAAACAAACCTTCAGAGAAATTCAAAAGTGAGCAACGATCCAGGCAGTATTGGTGCTTTAATTAATTTCAACTGAGGTTTTTCCTGTTAGGGRATGTCGACATTCAGTATAGCGGTATACTATTTTACCTTAATGCATCACGTTAGCGTTTTGCAGCATGTCTTAAATATTAAAAAACACACTGAATACACAAATATGTTCAAAAATTATTTCATAACAATGTTTAGAAAGTTGCAAATTTAAAGCAATGTCCACCAAAAATTAAATGTTTAGATACAAAATGCTGAAATAACAAAAAATATTAAAAAAAGGAAATCTCCCACCAGTTAATAGTTGATATGTTACTTGTTTAATTAGCTAATTTCAAATCYATGTAGCGAAAACAGTAAAATAAAAGAACGATGAAAGAAAAAATAAAGCCTTGGCCAAAAAACGTCTTTCTTGTTTTTAGACCTATTTGAGGTAAATGAAAATCCTGTGTTTCTGGATGAACATCAACATTAGAATCTGTTATAAAATTTATTGAGTTGCCTATAAATTATACAACATAGTATTTTTTTTAACAACTGGRACATTTCTTTTCAGTCTTGTGCTTGTTTTCTTACACAAAACAAACTGAAACCATGGTGGCTGTATCAAAATACAAAGTATGCAGAAGTCATGAATGTTTCTTAGGGAACTATGAACAACTTGATTAAAAACCTGTTGCACATCCATCCCAATGCTTTCTCTGAAGTCTGTAAATATCCAGTGAGTATCTCTGAAGGTGCTAAAATATCACATGAGAAGATTCAAAGTTGTTCTAATTTATTCACTGGAAACTATAAAGGTAAGCAAAACAACATGGAAATGTGTCAAATCGTTGTTAAGACGTCTCTAAAATGAAACATTTTGCCTTTTTTTTGGCTAGCTGACATGATTTTCTAAGCTTATCATCTATCCTTTTATTTGCTTATGTAGTAAAGTTTTATGAGGAGAAAGAAATGACTCATCTCTTCTCCTTTCTTTTAAAGGTGCTTTTGCTGCCACGGATGCAACATAATAAAATCAGTTACAACAGAAGTGTTAAAACTCAACAAATYAAGTGCTGTGCTTTGTTCATGCTTAATGGAAGTGCAGCACCGAGTCAGACACAGGTTTTGTGATAATCACTCTAGAGTTTAAAGAGGTGCTTCTTTCTGTCTTCACACATGTCCATACTCGTTCTGTTGATTTATTCTCCTTCACCCAACCATTTGGAACACTGCTGGCAGAAGGAATGTTTCTTGGAAATCACAAACTACAACCTCCAGGACTACATTCCCTTCAGCGCTTGTTTTATGCACGTATACTAAAAATGGAAATTGGCATTTAAACCCTCTTTTTAAAACACCKCTTTCATCAGCCACAGACTTAAAGCAATAGTTAAGATGTTTTAAAGTTATATTCTGTGGAAAGTTTATTACCCAAACTTGTTTTAAACAACTTCAATTTGGAGAAATAGAGCTTAATTCGAACCAGACTGACAAGCTAATTTATCRGAGTGGAGCCAAGATCAAAGTGAATATCTGCTGTTTTACAGTTTYCATATTTGTTAAAACAGTCACTGTCCTGACAGTAGAATATGAGACAGATAATCTGTGGAAAAAAAATAAAGCTCCTCTGGCTCCTTCCAGTGTTCCATATAGCCATTTGTAGGAATACACCGCTCCCAGTTAGAAACAGCCAATCAGAGCCAGGGGGTTGTTTTACCAGTGTCAATCATGCTAGTGTACTTGCTGCTCACACTCGTCCCCACGAACAGCGCCTACTGTCTTTCAAGCTCAAGATTGCCAGTGTGCTGCAGCTGTGCTGACGGTGGAGAAACAAGCTAACGTAACAGGAAAATTGCCAATTTCTGAACATTCTGGATGTGCCACATTATTTGCCGTCATCAGTGGCCCTGCTTTTTACTAGCCTGCACGTTCACGGCAGACTCTGCTGTGGGGGGGAGGAGCTAAGGAGGGAGGGCTGTAGCGCAGCAGAGAGCAATAGAGAGGGAACTTTAAAATAGCTTCAATCTCAAAAATCATTTTGCAAAACCCCGCACCAAAAAGATCCAAATTATCCTTTTATGTGGATCATAGTGTTGAGTAAAGCTAACAAGCAGAGTAAATTTATCCAGGGGTTAATGCAATACACGTATCACTTTATTGAACTATCAAATTCATCATGTATATTTGCATTGTCACTGCTGCTTCCTCCTTTTCAGACATTGCAGTTGTAGACATGAGCGACGTGTTTCGGCAGCCCTCGTTATTTTACCACCTGGGTGTGAGGGAGAGCTTCGACATGGCCAACAACGTCATCCTGTACCATGACACCGACCCCGACACTGCTCAGTCACTGAAGGTAACACATGCACACCCCTCTCAGAGTGTAATCAGAGTTCGTAGATGCCATTCCTTCACGCTGCCTCAGAACAAAGTGACCCACTGAGTTATTTACAGACGGCTGTGTGCAGAACAGTCAGTCCTGACACCTATTTAAAAGCCCCGATGGGGTGAAAATACACCGGAACTCTGTTGTACAGCTTTGAAATACATTGCATGCTCTTTGTCTTTCTACAGGACATGGTGGCACAAAAAAACACAGTAAGTTTCTATGTGTGTGTGTGTGTGTGTGTGTGTGTGTGTGTGTGTGTGTGTGTGTGTGTGTGTGTG